TTGGTTTTTCGAGACAGGGTTTCTCTGTGTAGCTTTGCGCCTTTCCTGGAACTCACTTGGTAGCCCAGGCTGGCCTCGAACTCACAAAGATCCGCCTGCCTCTTATTGCACAGAATCTTGAAAGCACCATTTTTTTTTCTATTTTCATTAAGAAACCTTTTATTCATTTTACATACCAATTTGCATACAGATCACCCACTTCCCTCCTGCTACCCCTCCAGCCTTACCCCACAACTCACCCCCATTCCCTCCTAGGAGAAGGTAAGGCCTCCCATGGGGAGTCAGCAGAGCCTGGTACATTTAGTAGAAGCAGGTTCAAGCTCTTCCTCCTGCCTCAAGGCTGTGCAAGGTGTCCCACCAGAGGTAGTGGGCTCCAAAAAGCCAGCTCATGCACCAGGTATAGATCCTGATCCCACTGCCAAGGGGTCCCTTAGGCAGATCCAGCTACACAACTGTCTTGCTTATGCAGAGGGCCTGCCTAGTCCAGTCACATGGAGGCTCCACAGGTGTTGGTCTAAATTTCATGAGTTCCTACTAGTTTGGTTTGGTTGTCTCTATAGGTTTCTCCATCATGATCTTGATGTCTCTTGCTCCTAGAATGCTGCTTCCCTCTCTTCTACAACTTGGCCTGGTGTTTGGCTGTGGATCTCTGCATCTGCTTCCATCAGTTAATGGAGAAAAAGGCTCTATGATGACAGTTAGGATATTCACTGATCTTACTGCTGTAAGCCAGTTCAGGTACCCTCTCCACTATTGCTAGTAGTCTAAACTGTGGTCATCCTTGTGGATTCCTGGGAACTTCCATAGCACCTGGTTTCTCTCTATCCCCATGATGTCTCCCTCTATCACAGTATCTCTTTCATTGCTCTCCCACCCCATCCCTGTTCCAGCTTGACCATCCTGTTCCCTTATGTTCTCATTCCCTATCCCTTACCGTTTGTGGCTACCCTCATCCCCAGTTTACTCATGGAGATCTCATCTATTTCCCCTTCCTAGGGCTGTTCATGTGTCCCTCTTAATGTCCCCCTTGTTACCTAGCTTCTCTGGAGTTGTGGGTTGTAGTCTGGTTATCCTTTGCTTTACACCTAGTATCCACTTACGAGTGAGTCCATACCATGTTTGTCCTTCTGAGTCTGGGTTACCTCACTTAGGATGATATTTTCTAATTCCATCCATTTTCCTGCAAATTTCATGATGTCATTGCTTTTTACTGCTGAGTAGTACTCCATTGTGATTATGTATCACATTTTCTTAATCCATTCTTTGGTTGAGGGGCATCTAGGTTATTTCCAGATTCTGGCTATTACGAATAATGCTGCTATGAATGTAGTTGAGCATGTATCCTTATGATATTATTGAGTATTCCTTGGGTATATGCACAAGAGTGGTATAGCTGGGTCTTGATGAAGATTGATTCCCACTTTTCTGATAAATTGCCATACTGATTTCCAAAGTGGCTATACAAGTTTACACTCCCACTAGCAATGGAGGAGTGTTTTGCTTGTTCCACATCCTCTCCAACATACACTGTTATCAGTGTTTTTGATCTTAGCCATTCTGAGAGTCATTTTGATTTTGATTTTCCTGATGACTAAGGGTGTTGAGCAATTCCCTAAATGTCTTTTGGCCATTTGAGGTTCTTCTGTTGAGAATTTTTTGTTTAGGTCTGTAGCCCATTTTTTAATTGGATTATTCAGTATTTTGATGTCTAGTTTCTTGAATTCTTTATATATTTTGGAGATCAGTGTGGGGTTGGTAAATATCTTTCCCCATTCTGTAGGCTGTTATTTTGTCTTATTTACCATGTCCTTTGCCTTACAGAAGCTTCTCAGTTTCAGGAGGTCCCATTTTTTAATTGTTACTCTAAGTGTCTGGAAAGTACCATTCTAATGTAAAGTCTTTTTATGTATATTGTTCAGAAACCTAAGTCTATGAGCTTCTCTATAAATGATATTAAATTTATAATCATGTACATTTGAAATAGCTTGTACCCATAAAATATCTTCCACTTTGAAGTCCACTGAGCATGGAGCCTAAGAAAGGTCTTAAACATGCTTTGAAAAAATTTTTTCTTATCAAATATCTATTATCACATTGTTAAAATTAATATTTTCTTGATGAGTTTTGGAGATACTTTCTGAGTGACAGGATTTATAGACAACATTTTGAAGGGACTTGCAATAGGCTAGACTGAGGAACGGCCATGTGTCTCACAAGCCTTCCCACTGAAGTCTGTCCAGCCACGACACAGGCACAATGTAACTATATTCCTAGTGCTAAGACAGAGTAGATTTGGTGAAGTTATGTAAGATTTTGTTAGCATCTCATCACAGAAATGGAGATCAGTAACTGCTACTGGGAGGCATTGGTTTCTGACTGACTTAGGAGAATCCAGCTAACATAGAATTTTCACAGACTTTTCAGGAAGCATTATACATGAAAACTGTGGAAGCATGTGCAAGTCACTGCAGGCCAGGCCAGGCCAGGGATAGCATATTTACTGTAGATGTTTACAAGGTTTCCATTCAGATCTAGGACAAATGCCTTGTGTCTATTTTAGAGTTGGTCATCTAAAACACCAGGAAGCCATAAAACATAATAATGTGTTCTCTGGTGTTAGTTCTTTCGGCCTCTCTAAAATCCATGGTGAAAATTTACTCCCAGAATAACAGCATTAAGAAATGTGTTCCTTTGTAGGAGGCACCTGAAACATGAGGGGTCCCATCTCACAAATGGGATTATGTGTCTTTATAGAAAGGTTTGATAGGCAGGCTCAAAAGATGGGTCATTGGTTAAGAGCACTGGATGCTCTTCTGGAGGACAACATTTAAATTACCAGCACCCCCATGGCAGTTTACAACAGTTTGTACCTCCAGTTCCAAGGGACCTGATGTTCTCTTCTGGCCTCCATGGGAACCAGGCACACTTGTGATGCAGACATACAAGTAAAAGCTGTACACACTCTTGACCACTTCAGTCTCCAGACTTCATTCTTACAGCACCTACAATTATTGACTCTCTTTGTAGCACCTCTCACCATGACTCAAGCTGCTATCCTGCTGTGTTCCTGCTTTGATTTTGTACAATCTTGGATCCCATTGTTCTTCCCCTTTTGTTTCTGACTTTTCTCTGATTTTGATAGTCTGGATCCTCACTGGGCTTTGCTGATCTACATAGAAATCCCTTTTTTCTTACCCATCCCTGAATCTGAGTAACTAATTATGGACTTCAGACATTCTAACACTGTCTTTTCCATTTTTTTTTTTTTGTCTAGTAAAAAAAATAAACCTCAAGATATCATCTGATCAGAATTTTGTTTTTCTGAATATCCATCTGGATGCTTCTTCTGGTAAAATACAGTGAGAAAAGGCTGAATTCATCTAACAGAATGAAATGTAACTGCACATTGAGCCTGTTGAACCAGCAACTGTATGCACATTTTCTGTGCCTTGACTGTTGGTTGACTTGCATTTGAATACTTGACACACTGACACAAAAATCACATTAATAAAATTAAGAATATTCACAGTAGACTGTAGCAGCTTAGAGAAATTATAAATTCTGACAACAAACTGGTTTTTAGGGCAAAGGACATTGAGAAAACACCAAGTTTTCCATGTTGACCTTGTGGTTCTTCTCCCTTGGCTTCTTAAGTATTGGGATGATAGAAGTACTCCACAAAACCTTGAGTTATTCAATTTGGGTGAATCCAATAGCATTCTAAAGGCAAAATTTTTCACCCCTTAACTAACAGTGCGGATATTAGAAATCTTCCTAGACCATACAGGCCACAGAACCAATTAAAAACAAAACCTGTCTAAAATTATGAGTTATAGACCTTGTTGAATTCATTCAGCTGATTTAATTACCAAGTTGGTTGTCAGTTTATTGACAAATGCTTAAATAACAATAGTTTTGTGTCCTTGCAATTAGTCCAACATTTGATTTCATTGTACCTGAGAAGTGGTTTTGAGGGTAAGGAGGACTTTTTTTCAAAAATCCTAAAAACTTGTCACTATCTGCCAGAAATAACAGAAGCAGCCTATAAATAACTGAGTTGGGCAAATCGAGTTGATTTATGTTGGTGTGCAACACCTTACTTCTGTGCTATATATATAAAACAACAAATGCCAGACTGCCTTATTGCTTGTAGTCCATTATCAATCTATCAACACTTTTTTGTGTGTGTGGGTGGGAGGAAGGAGGAGGAATATTTTCACAGGAATACTTTAAACACTTCTAATTTGTGATGGGATTCTGAATATTCTGATATATATTGCAATTTTTAAATGTCAAGCTCATTTAAAAAATAAATAACACATTATGCATGAAATGTATTTGTGGCATGCAACGAGATACTGGTAACCTTTTTTTAATCAAATTTTTCATTTGGAAGTGATTAAATACTCATATGCTATTGTAAGGAGTATTAGAAAGGGAGAGATTGTGTATCGTTTCCCCTGAGTGCAGCAACCTGAAGACTGGAGAATGACAGCTGGACACCGACAGTGACGTCAGTGTAGTAAACACACATACAGCCCCATCACTACCTTGCCTTCCCGACATTCTTCTATAGCCTCAATCACTTTCCATGTGTATCCCTTATCCATACTTATAGACGAATTTCTAAACAGTCTTATTAAATAAAAAAATGCAGAGACAAATAGAGGGGTGAAAGCCTTAGAGATCAGAGAAATAGTGGTAGCCACCACTAACCATAAGCTCACCACTCCACCATAGCTTCCCAAGAGAGCCAGTATCTGCCTGTCTATCCTGCACCTTTATTGCCTTCCTGTTCTGCCTTCTCATTGGCTCTTAGCCCAGCCACCTCATTTCCTCATCACTGCCTGTCTGTACAGACCTCCAGGTCTCTATGGTTGGTACTGGGATTAAAGGTGTGTGTCACCATGCTTGGCTGGGTCCTTGAACACACAGAGACTCTGCCTGCCAAGTGATCAGATTAAGGGGATGTGCTACCACTGCCTGACTTTTGTTTATGGCTGCCTATCTATGTCCTCTGATCTCCAGGCAATCTTTATTTATTAACATACAAATAAAATATCAACACATTTCAACACAAATAACATATCACAACACATACTTAATCCTTAAGACATTCTAACATGACTTCCATTCCCATGTATTTAGTTCCCAAACGTTATATATAAATAGAACCATGATAAAAGATAGTCTTTGTGTGTCGTCTTTTAAAAATAAACTTATTTCTATCCAGATTTATCCAAGTTGTTTCTTGTATCAATTGACTTTTCTGTTGAGTAGTGTCCTGTGTAGCTATTTTACAGTTTGACAAAACTTAAAACCTGCTGAGGGACATCTGGATTGCTTCAAGAGTTGACTATTGCACATAAAGCTGTTGTAAGCATTTTTGTTTGAATTTTGCATGAATATAAATCTTCATTTCTCGGAGATTAAAAACTCAAGGGTGTGATTATGAAGTCACATGATAGCTTTGTGTTTATTAAGAAGCTGCCAAACTGTTCTCCCGAGTATCTGTGCCATATATATTCCCTCCAGAAGTGTGTGAGTAAAACAGTTCTCTACATCCCACAAGCGTTTATAATTTTTTTTTCAGTTTAGCTAATGTGGTGTGTTTAAATTTAATGACCTTATTAACAATGCTGAACAATTTTCCTTTGCTTATTTGCCATCTGTACATCCTCTTAAACATGTCTAGTTATATCCTGTCTGTTTTATAATTGCATTATTTCATTCATATTTTATATTTAGATATTTATCATTACTGTGTAAGTTTTATTTCAGTCTGTACTTTGTATTCTCATATTCTTTTTTAAAGTGTGTGTGTGTGTGTGTGTGTGTGTGTGTCTGTATGTCTGTCTGTGTGTATGTAGTCAATGGTAGACCATTTGCCTAATATACAAATAGGCTCAATCCATAACATCACTGATGTAAAAAACAAAATAAAACAAATAATCACTCCCCCCAAAAAGCTGTCTCATGAGAAAGCCACGTTTTCTTACATTTTTTCCCTTTGAAAGTAAAATGTAGTTTCTCACTTGTTCCTTCCAACATATTTTGTGTTCTAAACTTTAAGTTTGATGATGATATGTCTTAGCATGAATTTCTTTGCATATTTTAAGGTTTATTTATTTCATTGTGTTAGAAACTTTATTCACAAATTTGATATAATTTTGTTATTATAATTCTTCTTTGTCTTTCTTCCCCATCCAAAAATCTGGTGACAAAAATTTTAGATTTTTGTCTACACATCTACATGTTTCTAAAGCTTTCTTTGAAAAACTTTTATATTCGATTTATTCATTTTATTTTACGTGTGAGTGTTTTGCCTGCATGTATATAAGAAGTTCACCACTTTCGTGTTTGGTTCCAGTGGGGATTAAATAAAGGTATTGGATCCCCTGGAACTGGAGTTACAGATGGTTGTGAACCATAGTGTCAGTGCTGAGACTCAAACCTGGATCCTCTCCTCTGCAAGAATGAGTGCTTTTAAACGCCAAGCCATCTGTCCTGCCCCTAAAGAATTTTTAAAGCATTTCTGCAATCTATTGTATCCCAGGTGTTCATATTTGTTATTTAGTAATTTGCCTTGCCCTGCCTGCACATGAACTGTCTTCCTTTCTCCGTGGATCTGTTTCTCATCTCATCTGTTGTGGGAGGTTTTTTTCCCCTGTTATTAGATTTTCATTTTACAAAATACATCCAATTCTTTTTGCATCGCATGTTTCCTCAAGCACACTTTTTGTTTATTTAAAGATTTGTCTGGTAGCTGCCATAAATCATTTGTAGATAATAACATCTCTGTCAGTCTGATGTTGGAGATTCTTATCTAAGTTGAGATTTTTTTTTTTAGGGTGTTATTTTGAGATTTTTTTTTTCTATAGGAAACGGGACAGTTTGTTTTTGGGTTATGGGACTATGGATTTTACTCAAGTGCCTGTTTTATCTGGCTTCCTTTCATATCATTCTGACCAGAGAATAGTACATGAGAACTATTACTGGTAGAAATTAAGATTTCCCGCTGCTAGTCCTCTATTTATCTCAAATGAGGAGAGATTGCTAGTGACATATATATGGAAATGAGAGTCCTGTATCCTCCCTGTGCTTTGTATCACCTCCACTGGGAGATGTAGGGACAGATAACGATCACTGTTAGAATCCCAAGGGGATGCCCTCCACATCACTGAACACTGGTGAAAGTGGGATTCTGTCAAGGTGCTCACAAACACTTTGCAGAAAAAAGGTAAGGTGTCATGTTACTGGAGAGATTTGTCAGATGGTTATCACTGACCACAAGGAAGGAAGGAAGGATTAATCCGGTCTGCTTGGTATGAAAGCCACTGCCCCCTAGTGGCCCTTTCTTAGCACAACTTCAGAATGTTATTGACCGTGCTTTTTAAAACAGCCTGGTAAAGACAGACATCTACACTTCCTGTTTAGACTTCAGTGGGATGGGAGAGGGAAGGCTATGTAATTTTCTGTGGTTTTTGTTTGGGGCAGAAAGGCATTTTATTAATTTAATAGTCCCTCGTTTTTTTTTCTTTTTTTTAAATGATATACTTTTCTTGGAACCATTTACTTCTGAGACCCTTGGGACATCATCTCAGAGGCAGCAGACACCAAGAACCAGGGTGGGCGGAGGGGTTCTACATGCCTTCTGCCACAGAAGAGCTGTGGCAGGAGAATGAAGTCAGCCAACCCGAGAGAGACATGGCTGGAGGCTAC